TCCGTTCTAACCCGACTGCTCAGCAATTTCATGGAGTGCCCACGGGTTCTTGTATTGTGAGAAAGGGAGAAAAGTACCTCTTTCTTTACCTGCTCTTTCCCATGCATAATCTTATAAACCTCGATCATGTCACCCCTCAGTCGTCTTTTCTCCAAGCTAAAGAGCCCTAAGCGCTTTAACCTTTCCTCATAGGGAAAGTGTTCCAACCCTTTTATCATTCGAGTTGCCCTTTTCTGCACTTTTTCCAAAGCTATAATATCCTTTTTAAGGTGTGGTGACCAGAATTGCACACAGTATTCCAGATGAGGTCGCACCATTGATTTATATAGGGGCATTATGATATTGGCTGATCTGTTTTCAATACCCTTCCTAATAATCCCCAGCATAGCATTGGCCTTCTTTATTGCAGTCACACACTGTCTCGTCATTTTCAGTGAGTTATCTACTAATTTGCTGCCAGAGGATGTGGTGATGGCCACAGGAATAAAGAGCTTTCAAAGGGGATTAGATGGATTCATGGAGGATGTCTATAAGTGACTACTAGCCATGGTGACTGAGCGGAGCCTCCACATTCAGAGGCACTAATCCTCTGAATCCCAGAGCCAGGAGGTCTCCGTACCCTGTAGTTGGCCACAGAGGGACTGGTTGGCCACTGAGTGAGGCAGGATGCTGGACGAGATGGACTGTTGGTCTAATCTAGCAGGGCTCTTCTGATGTTCTCAATATCTCAGTGTTCAGCTGAGAGGTTTTGATGTTTGTTTCAGCTGGCAAAACGGCACAGCCCTTAGCAAAGAGAGTGTGCAATAAACAAGGCCCTGGTGTTTAGCCCTCATCGCCTGGGGCGGGGTGGTGTCAGGGTCCTTAGCCAGGTTACGCAACACAGGGCTTCATGAGAAGATAACTGTTTATTGGTAAATCCAGTACTAGAGACACGTGTACAGCTTGTGTCAGGAATGGCCGACAGCACTAGGGCCTCTGACTTATACTAGGATCAAACATCCCCCTGGTAAGCCTAAGCCAATGGATACATCCTGTGTGCGTGGGCAGAGCAAGCAGGCCAAGCAAAAGCCGTTAACTTTTCCAGCTGGGTAAAACTGCAGCTGGAGCATCTACAAGGTCAAACATAAGATAGCAAACGGTGAGCCAGGGAGAGCTGAGACAGAAAACGGGAGGGCACCCCCTCCACATTCCAGACCTATGACAGGGCTACCTGACAGGTGGGGTGGCAGATTTGCTTGAGAATATCTCTGGGGCTTGGCATCTCTTCTAAGAAATCCAGATGTGCACCAAACCTGAAACATCTGGGACTTGGATCAGGTAGGCTTCACCAACAGTAAAGGTTTTCTTTCTTCTTTTTCTTAAAGAAAAGTTGGCCGAGTCTGCAGAGCCCTGGAAGCCGCTGGGAGAAGAGATCGAGCCCAGAGACGATGACGTTTCCCAGGCCGAGCCGGAGCACCACGAGCCGCTCGTCCCGTTGCCAAGCGCACTGCGGCAGCGAGCCGCGCCCCCCGCCGCAGGAGCAGAGAAGTCGTAGCAAACCCCACCCCCTTTCGCTCTCCCGTGTTGCTCTTCAGTGGCCGGTCAGACTCGCCCGGAGAGGGGCGCGCGTGTCCTCCCTCCCCAAGAGAACTGAGAGACGCAACCGTTTTGGGGGAACAGCCTTCTGCGTGAAAAGCCTCTTAGGGGCTCTTGAAAAAGTTGTGTTGGATTGTTCCTGAATACCCAGGCAGAGGGGCGTCCGTAAGCGGGGCTTCGTCGATACGTTGCGGGAGGCTTCCGGGTGCGTTCTTCCCCAGGATCCTGGCTTTGGCGGGTCAGCTGGGGGGAGGGGGGCCCGCAGAGCCTCTAGCCACAGCCGGGACTTCTCTGTTTCAAAACAAAACACAAAACCCTCCCCCCGGCTGCTGCTGGTGGGAAGAAGACCCTGCAGCCGCCCCCTCCCGCATTCACTGGCGTCACCCAGGGGCCTCTCGGAGGGGGTCCCCCCTGTAGTGTTATCAAAGGTTTTGTCCAAAACAGCTGAAGGGGGGGGGCTCCGAAGTGAGCACTGAGTTGGCAAACCAAAATATGGCAAAGTGGTTTTGAAACCGAGAAACGTTTCAGTAGCGGCTGGGCGGGGGGGGGGGGGGGGGGAGGTTCCTGCCCAAAGGAATGTGCCCCGAGCGCCGTGTCTGAAGCAGCCGTCACGTTCGTTTCCCGTGGCTTGTTCTCGTTGCCCGCCCCTGAGCACCGGATCTCTCCCTCCTCCGCGTGTCGTGTTCAGTTCTGGGTGGTGTCTCCCGATTTCCAACCCCGCAAAGCGGGGGGGGGGGGAGCAGAGCCCCAAACCCCACTCCACCCTGTGCCATTTGCCCCCCCCCGGGCCGTGTGCGGGTGGGGGTTCAGGTCCGTGATTCCACGGGCTTGGCCGACTGTTGTGGCCGGGTGTGACGCCCGCCATTTGGCTGCCACCTTACCTGTTTGTTTGTTTGTTTGTTTCTGTTTACAATATCTGGAAAATGAAGGATGGATGCCTCGCCTCTCTTTCCCAGGTGCCTTTTCCTACCGGGACCCTTGAAGGAAAGCTTATTGTTACTGCCTGCCTTGGGAACAGCTCTGCTCCCACAGCGTTTTCCTTCCGCTGGGCCTTGAAGCCCAGCAGCGGAGGACCCTGTGTGCGTTTCCGCATGTCGGCCTCTCTCCGCTTTGCAAAGCCGACCGCCGGCTGCTCACTTCCTGTCCTCGGGCGCGGCCTTCTCCCGTGGAGAGCTTCTGGTGCGAGATTGGGCGTTTTCCAGGATTTGATCTTTGGGACCAACCGAGGGAGCAATTTAACCCGTATCCATGCCTTGAACACCGCTGCAGAATGGGAGGAAGCTGTCGGAGTGGGGAGTGGGGGACTCTTAAGGCTGTGCTGTTGTTTTTTGACACCACGGCAGAATTCGCCTGCCTGGGGGAACCCTTTTGTTAGATGTAGGCATGAGGTCTTCTTCCAAATAGGTGCTGGACAGTGCATCCACCTGGACTGGCTTATAGCAGCAGTGGCAAAGGCCGTCTAGGGCTGTCCGTGGTCTGGTGAGAACCCCAAATACCTTGGAACCAGAGCTCTTTCTGTAGCAGGATCTCCTTTGCATATTAGGCGACACACCCCTAATGTAGCCAGTCCTCCAAGAGCTTACAGAGCTCTTCTTACAGGGGCTACTGTCAGCTCTTGGAGGATTGGCTACGTTAGGGGTGTGTCGCCTAATATGCAAAGGAGTTCCTGCTACAAGAGGAGCCCTGTTTGGAACTACGTTCTTCCATGGCTGTTCCTGACCTTCCAGTACAACAGCCGGTTTGGGGGGTTCTTGTTTGCGAGTTGTCGGCCTTTCGTCTGGCTTGGGGCCCCCATCACAGGACCTTGCGCTCAGATGAAAAGCCTTTCTGTGCGTGCCTCCCTTTCTCTCCCTCTCTCGGGCATTCTAGCCTCTTTTGCCTGTTTCCTTGTCTGCCCTGCAGGGGAAGATGTTCCCAGCTCTCTTGGGGGGCAGGGCCTCGAAGTCAGGGGGGGGCCCTGCAGCGGGTCATCTCCAGCCGGATGGTACATGGCTTCCCAATGCAGGTGGGTGGGCCAGACGGCCGGCAGGCACCGACCACTCCCTGGGCTGCCCCGTCTTGGCGGCCGAGCCCACGTTTTGCCCCTTTCTGGACCGTCTGGTCGTTTTTAAGCAAGGCTGTTGGGAACGGGGCCGTGCCTGCAGAAGGCTTGTTGTGTTGGTTGTTAGGGCTGCTTGGAGCTCAGTTGCCGGTGTGAAGGTTTCTTCTTGGACTTCTGTTTTGCCCTCCTTTGTCGAGGCGAGTTCTGTTCTGTGTCCGGGGGTGGGGGGGGAAGTATGTCTGGGCCTGCTTTGCGTCAGTGAAGACGCACCGGCAAAAGGGGGGGGAGAGATTGGCCTTCTTGTAGCGGAAAGGTGACTTAATTCCATTCTCGGGAAGGGCTGGCCACAGAGTCACACAACGGCCGCCATGTGCCCCCCCTCCCCAGGCAGGTCAGGTAGTTGACCCCACTGCAGACAGGGCCATTCTGTACTATTTGGACCAGAACTTGGGTTCATCTTCTGAGCAGCTTTGCCAGGGCCTCGGGGGAGGGTGTGTGTGTGTTACGGGTGGTGGAGTGGGCCGCGCCATTTCAGACGGTGGGAGGAGAGTGCCATTTTGAATGCTCTCCATCCCTTTGTGGGAAAGGGACAGGAACTCGTGCGTCAGGGAAAGGGAGGCTGCTGCCCCGCTCCTTCCCTGGTGGGCTCGGCTTCTGCTTGCGGGGGTGTGTGTGTGTGTGTCACGCAGGAGAGCTTTGTGCCTCCCTCCCCGGCTCTAATCCGACATGGCGCAGTCCTCCCGACCACCACTGGCCACCGCAAACCGTGCCGTGTTCCCTGCACAGTCCCGGGTGGACGTCTCCATTCGGGAAAGGGGGGAGCCGCCTCGAACCCCAAACGCTTCTGCCGTTCCAGAGGGGGGGGGGCGTGTTGCTCCTGCTGGTCACGTGGTCCGGGGAGGCCGCACTCCAGGGGTTGGGTTTGGTCTGCGTTGCCGAGGATGGGTCCCCACCGGTCGCAGACAGCTCAGTATTTCCCCTCTCTTTTAACGCCTGCATTTCAAGGGCTAGAAGGCCGGCCTCTTCCTCTGCAAGACATTTCCAAGCAATAAAGCTCTCTCTCTCTGTGTCTGGAGTCATTCCTCCGTGCGTCTTTGCGGCAGATTATTTTAGAGTCCCCGGTTGGGTGTCTCAAACGGGTAGGGCGTAATAAACTCCCGTGTATGTTTTTGTCACATCATCAAAAGTAAGAATCTCCCCCCCCCCACACACACACACAAACGACACTCCTCAGTCTGTCTGGAGCAATTGTTCAGGTGCTG